CACTCAGCTCCTTCAGACTAGCCAGCAAACACCTTGTGGAACTGCGCATCAGCTGAGCTCAATATAGGAGCTACTTCTCCTATAAAACGTTGTTAAAAGGTTAATATAGGATGTTCTGATGAATTCCCGAAGGCAGCATTTCAGAAAGAGCAGGAGTTTATAAAGGGACAGAGGCCCAATGTCAATTTAATTTAATTTACAAAGACACATTTCTTTTAAGTCATATTTTATGTATATGAAGCATTTTTATGTATATAAAGCAACAACTGAAGATAACATGGTTACTTGATTAAATTTGATTGCACAATGTGCCTAGAAAACACAAAATACTGCCCCTTGAAAAACTGTGTCATCTATTGTGATCAATTTTAGTTTAAACTGGTGTAAATCTCTGGGAAATCACAAATGCAGCACAAGTATGAGAGTTTTATCAGGATAACTTTGTACAAAGTAGAACTGAACAATAATGTGTAATTGTTTATTTACTGCTAAAAACAAAAGGAGACAAAATGTTTAGATCCTAAATATCATATTATTCTCTGACCTCTTTAGGAAGCTGAATCTTGGAGAACACAATTGTATGTTCCGCGCCAAGATTCAACTCTTTAGGCAGACGAACGCTCACCAAACTGTCTGGCATGATCGTACCTGAGATCACCTGGAGTAGATCACAGCCAGACATAGAAAGATTGAAGAAGATCCAGAAAAAAAACATAGTTCAAAATTCTCTGCTCATGTATCTTTGATCAGAATAAGCATAATATTAAGAATAATAAAATAAAATTAAGTGTTACCTCAGGGTCATTGGCAGAAATGGTAAGACCGTTGAAAGGAATAGTGGGCTTTTGTATGAAAGCCAAAATGTTTGTCATTTTGAGTGTCCCTGCAGTCACCTCTCTTTCCTCCAGAGCTTGCTCTATGGTTTTAAGTGTTCTTGTGGAAAGACAAGAGAACACATAGCGTAAAACACTCGGTTCTCAAAGACAATATTAAAATATCTGTGTAAGCTGAAATATATAAAAATATTTACTTGACAGTTTCATTGTGGCTAGTTTGATTCTTCAAAATGTCAAATAACTTTTCAATGCAACTTTGGACAATTTGTTCTGGAAGGCTGCCTACAGAGTAAAATGATACATGTTATTACATATAGTGCTACAGAACGTGATCAGTGCAACTTTCTGTTGAGAAAAACAAAAGGTTACAACAAAACAAGTCAGAGAGGACGTCCATTCATCATCAAACTCACTAAGGCTTTTTGGGAACATTAAACTTTCTCATAGCTTTACATTGCAGGACTTTTCAACAGAGTTAGCACACATACAGTAGCACAATCTACACTGAAATGACTCACTTGGAGAAGCTTCACATCTCCCAACATTCCTGCACAATGACAGTAGGGTAATACAAGTTGTGACTGCAGAAAAAATACAACAAAAACAGACATAAAAATAACACAAATGCATAGAAAACAAATTGCTCACTAGAATACTATTAATAGAATATAAGTTCCTGTTCAGGCTTGACACAATATGAAAAATAAAGACGTGCTATGTTAAAACAGTTCAATATTACATAAAAGTAGAACACTAAAGTTGCTCCTCTAGCTCACTATCAGTCCCAGCAATAGCACATATTGGTTTTCAGCAACATAAATGAAGGTGGTGCTTTGTTCAGTTAATGTTTAGTATCTGCATTTTTTTAACAGTGGGCTTGAAAATATGGGACATTAATCAATATCAAGTTTATTTGTACAGCACATTTTAGCAACAGGGCAGTTCAAAGTGCCTTACGTCATGAAAGACAAAAATAAAGTAATAAAAACACCATACAGTCAAAAATTGAGAAACCAGCAACAAACATTCTGATGAATGTCTGTCATCAAACATCCATGTTTTGATTTTCATCATCAGAATCATCAAGTTGCATCAAATAAATTGGTCAATGTTTCATTTATTATGGTTCAAAAGTCACTAAATAGCTGGTTTTCTAGTTTAGACTTAAAGGCACTTAGTGCTTTGGAGTTTTCTGGAAGTTTGTTCCAGATTTGTGGTACATAGAAGCTGAATGCTGCTTCTCCATGTTTGGCTTTGGATCTGGGGATGCAGAGCAGAATCACAACCAGAAGATCTTAGTGGTTTCTTTGGACATACCTCCTGTAATTTCTATGTTTGGATTGCTTAGTCCATTTTCTAATCCAGGTATTTTGCAAATGTTCGATTCTTCACCGAGTGAAAGCTTGGGCAGGAAGATCATCCACCACAGGCCCAAGCACTTTATCCTGTAAAATAGACAGTTATATAGAAATAGCCTCTGTATATTTTTTTGATTAGTCATTAGGGGAAGCATGTTAAACTGCCTTACTTGCCAACAGAATAACATGATACAAGAAAAAAACAACAACTGAAGAATGTGTGCAGAGCTATACAGATATTTTATAACAGGATTGCACTAAGATAAAGTCTGCCATATGCTTATAAGAACAAAATTGTCCAACAAAGGTATACCCTTTTATATCATTTATAGTCCTTGGTTAGATAATACTATTTAAAATAGACACTACAGTGATATTAGTTTCTGACTAATAACATACACAAATATCGCACCATTTAATATTAATATTGTATATGTAATTTCCGTTAACACTGTGTGAATGAATCCTCAGCAACCCTACTATTTATGTATGCTGCAAATAAGATGAACTAGTTTTACAAACCAAACAAGAACAAGCAGGAAAACTAACACGTCTCGTGCTTGAAAGAGAAACCCATGTATATGCATACACTGGCGATGGTGAAAGTTTGGACACAGTGCTGTCACATGAAGTGTTGCGCCAAGGAGATGAAAAGAACAAGGGTTGGAGCAGAGGTTGCGCTAGACTTTTTAGGCCATAATTTTGACTGTCGGTGTCAAAAAAATGTTTTTCATCTATTGTTACCTGTCAATTCTTTAAATAATAATGTTGGACATCCAACGATGAAGTACTGAAACTGAATATAAGGGCTATTATCACTAGTCATTCAACCATACACTGTGTTGACTCTGGTCTGCTTCCATTTATTTATTTATTTTTTAAGATCAACATATTATTTACAGTGCCCTCAACTGGTCAGCTAACTTAATCAGGCAGTTACTAATGTCACAATTTTCACTTTCAAGCAGCCAGCATGCTGAAATGAGTGAAGCACATGCATTGCGTAGTGTGAGATTAGATTCTATTAAGTCATTGTTGCAATACTTGATTCACTTCTGTATTATTTTGCAGTTGTGCATACATGTCCTGCTAAGTGGATTTTAGAAGGACCCGATTCTATGACAGAAAGAGGAAACAGAATAATAGGAAAACTAGAACAGCTTGAAGAACAGGATGTGAAGGACAAGCAGAGTAAAAGGCAGAAAAAGTACAAACCTACTAAGCAAATTAACTACAAAACATAAGGAAAAGAACAATTCTGATCTAAAAAAAACTAAATTTAGAAAGAACAGAACACAAGAATAGATAAAGAAACTAACACAAATGAATAGAAATGAATATGAGACATTGATTAGAATATGGCAAAAATGTAAATAAATACAAATAAGAGGTTGGTGAAACTAAACTCAAACAGTATACGTGAGTTGTGGTGCTCATGTGGAAGATTTTTTTTTTATTAGGTGCAAAAAGTCTGGTAGTAAGTTTCACATAGGTCACCATAGAATTAACGCTGCATCTGCTACAGAGTTAAATGCATAGCAAGCTCATGTGGAAGCAATATTTTTGCTTCCTTTGTAATGAAGTGCCAATATACAGTAGTGTGGTGCAGGATTAATGCTTTACAGATCTAACCAAGAAATAAAAATGGACTGAACAACCCAGAAGTGAAAAAGAGAAGAGAGAAATAAATAGCAAAATACACATTTTGATTAGATGAATCGTGCTTTTAAATCTGACTTTAACAATGTTGCCAAGGAAATGAAGGCATTTTGACAAAAGTCAGACGGGGTATGAGGGCCACACTAAGAAAAAAAAAATAAATATAAGAATTTTGTCACATTAATACAATAATAAAGCTATTAAATTCTACGAATAAAGCAGTTTGACAGAAAGTCCAAATAACACAAGAAAAAACTCATGATGAGAAAAAAGTTGTGATAATGTGAGAATAAACAACTTTTTGAGAATAAATTTGTAATAATAGGACTAAAAAGTCCTAATATTAGAAAAAAACTCATAACATGACGAGAATAAAGTCGTATATCAGTAGAAGGAAGCAGTAATTTTATAACTCCTACACAAGAAATAATAAATTAAAATGAGAATTTTTGAGCATCTTGCGAAGTTATACTTTGGTATCAGTTTTACAAATATTTGATCTTTTAACATATCAGCATCAAATTATTATCAGTAGCAGGACTTTGTGAAAATAACTATTTTAAAGGAAAAATCACAGACCTGATGATTTTATAACTCCATCAAAGCTTTGCTCTCATTGAAACAACTTTTTTCTAGTAATTTTCCAACTTTCTTCTGGTAACATTGTGTCTTTGTTCTGCTTTTATTGTTAATGTATTGTCATAATTTCAAAAAAAGATATCTTAGTCAGGCCCTTAGATAGCCTGTAGTATGTCATACAGGATCATGTGTGAAGAGTGTCGCTTGTTTTTGTCACTTTGTTTTGCAAACCTTCATCTGATCGAACTGACAAAAAGGCTGGTATATTTATATGATGCCCTGCACTTGGCTGGAAATACATAACCAATAATCTTGTCTCCGCTTTGTTAAGTAAGCAATAGTTTTACTCAAATCTTTTATTGACATCAAACAGATGAAATATTGTTGTACATATAAAGTATCATAACCTACCTTTGCATGTTGCCAAGTTCTTGTAGCGAGTTTGTCTGGGAAAAGAACAGATGATGTGACAGAAACCTCCACGTGCCTACTGAGCTTCGAAAGCTGAAGCTGACAGAACGGTTGTGTGACAGCAGGAGGAAAAAAATAATGAGGAAAGTCTGAGTTTGAAAGCTTTATTTACATAGTGTATGAGAAAAAAGAGGAAGTGCTCAGATAACCATTTGCCTTTGATTTTCATGGAGTCGTGAAACCTGCCCATCTTCAAATGAATGAAACTGTAGAGACAGCTCAAACTTTGTTCACAATGTCAAAAAAGCAATACACAAACAGACATGCTTAGTCTGGTTTGAAAGAGTGATAGTGTTAGAATGACATTTAGGGCAGCTGAACCAGACAATCATCACTTGGAAGTTGTCATATTATGTCATATTATATTACCGAATTAACAGGATTTTATGTACTGATATAAAAAATCTTCAGACTGTGATTGATTTTCCCATTAGCTAAACTTAAAATTATGAAAAGCCACTTGACCTGTTTTATAAATTAAACTGGTCTGATTGGAGCAGATTTCTTTAGCCAGTTTTTTGAATGATGTTTGTGCACCCAGCTGTATATTACAGCCTAGTGAGAGCCTTGCAGTGTCAGTGTGTTTCATGCTTTATCCATCAGCTGATTGACTAGCAGAACATACAGGTGGACTTTCTGTCTAAGGGTCAACACACCTTCAGCACTAAAGGTCAGAGCAGAAACTTTATCAAGAAGAAAAGTGAACAAAGGACATTTTGAGCTTTACATCATGTCATAATGTTACTCCCTCATCAAGAACAGATGTGCAGTGTTGCTTTGATTCTTTCATGCATGTTTTAGAAATCTGTTAATCTCCCATGGCAACCATTCAGCTGTGCAAAACATCTGGGTGGATCTAGCCCCCTATTCAGCTCCTTCAGACTAGTCAGCAGAAATTAGCAAACACCTGGTGGGACTGCACATCAGCTGAGCTCATCATAGGAGCTACTTGCCAGTGAAATGCTGGTAAAAAAAATTAAGTGGTGAATAGAGGAGCCATATTGTCATGACTTCATGAAGGCAGAGTTTCAGAAAGAGAAGACGTTTCTTAAAGAGACAGAGGCCCAATTTTAAGGTGCTAAATTACAAAGTAAAATTTTTATTGAAGTCTTATTTGATATAAACAGCATTTTATAACAACTCAGTTTAACATAGTTACTTGGTTGTTCCAGAAAATGATTCTATGTGACAGGAAAATACATAATACTGACAGGGTGATAGATTTTGCATTTTCAACTTTCAAAAGCTCAACAGATGTGCTGCCACTTCTTATTAGCAGAGATCTTTCTACAGGCCTGTTAACAGCATGATTTGTAATCGTATGCCCCAAAAAATGAGCTTATGTTTAAGTTGGGCATTTACACACTATTAGTTGGCTCGTGTCATGATGAGTCAAATAACTTTCCCTGACAACAACAGCAGATTCATTTTGACATCTGGGATGAGATTGTACTGCTTATACAATGTTTATGATTTCTCACCCAAAGATGGAATGTGGTGGCGATGAATGATTCATGCAGAGCATATGATTTAGATGATCACTGGAAGTATAAGTTTGTGTGTGGCATTCTAACTTAAAATAAGCTTAAAGTACAGGAAGAGTCTGAAGAAAAGTCGTGTTGTGAGAAAATTGTTATAAAAAATGACGATGTACACATGGACGTGTTGAGATCCCAGAATTAAAGTCAGAACAAATGTCTAATATGTTCTTTACCATCAAGTCTCATTCAACCCGGTTAATGTCTGTTTCAGTTCTAGTCAGGTTTTGAGTGTTTTAGGTGATTATTTTTGCTATCATACAAATCTATCTATATTGTTGCACTTTATATTTATTTTTTTTTTTGTGGAATCTTTGAACCTCTGGAAAAAGTAATGACGTGAAAAGATACACTAATATCCACGCATGAAGGTTATTGGAAAAAAAAAAAAACAATAAATAGAATGCACATCATAATGTTATGTGAAGTGTAACTCTGAGAGAAAGTTGACCAGAGCTGCACAATTTTTTGTTAAAATGACGGGATATAAAAGACTCCCAAAGGATGGAAAAACCACGAGTATTTAAACCAAAAGCTTGGAGAATTCTTTCAAAGTAAGCTTAAAAAAACTACAGCATTACTGAATTTTACATTGAATAAAATAAGATAGGGCTATCAATAGTGCCTGTTTTCTTAAATATATATATAGATATTTATAACAACAACAACAACAACAAAAAACAACTAAAAGACGTAAAATGGCAGGGATGTGTAAATCCTCCCAGCACTTTAAATTTAGATATTAGAGCTTCTTGTTTCAGAACTCGACTTCCCAGTTTCCAGTTCAGCTTCTTTGGACTTTTTCCAAGATAACACAAAGTAAATGGAAACGGAGAAACCTGTGAAATAAAACAAGGACATTACATTTATACTGTATAGAAAGCAATAACAGGAATTTATAAATGACACAAAGAGACTAATAATACAGTATACAGTTTTAAATAATGCTTTAATCTCTTCAAACCTTGCAAAGAGTTCAGTATGCAGAAGCTGTAGAGGCCAGGAGTGTCGAGGTGACCGAACGAAAAGAAGATCAGGCCCCAAGTCAGTCCCAGCAGGACCATCAGTGTCAGCAGGGTGCAAATTTCCTGCTTGGCTTCATGATGCCGCCTCTGTCCGTGCGAATTCCCAAGACATGAACAAACACACACTGCAGGTTATATTCAATAAATATGCTGACATACAACTGTGGTGAGTGTTCAACTCAATCAAAAAGTCACAAGATATTTACTAAAATAAACAGGTCAGACTGAAACCCATTTATGATTACCGTATTACCGTATTTTCTGATCTATAAGTTTGATCAGTCAAAAAATGAAGAAAAGAAAATACACATAGCTCAAACTGGACTGTAAATTGAACTTATTTAGAAATTGTCCAAAGGGATGGATAACTTTGTCCATGTCATCTCCCTTCAGTGCTCTGTCTGGGGTTTCTCCCATTGATTTTTCTGGTTGAATTTCATCCTGGCCAATTAGCAAACAGAACAAGTTGTGAACAATGACGTAAATTTTCTAGGCTGTTTTAGAATTGCTGTCTGCCTGTAGTTTCAGCAATGGCAGCAGAGGAAGTGAAGGAAGCCAGTCAGTCCATGTTGGTCACACTCCAAATATTGAGCGATTTCAGTCGGAACAAGAGGAATGTTCAAGACATTTTATTAGGCAGAGAAATCATTCAGCTCTGCACTTCATTCTTCTCAGTGGGGGATGGTTGTTAACAGTGTATGTATTTTCCAGTAAGCTTCATAGCGTAGCTTCCTTCATGGTTGAGCTGGTGCATTGCATACTTCACGTGCAACCGTTAGTGACTAGGTAAAATCAGATTCAATCAATTCAAACTTAAACAGAGTCCACGCTTCCAGAAAGCAATCGTTTTCAACAGCTGAGGGTCCAGATACTCTGTACGAATCAAAGTATAGAACAAGGGGCTGGTGTTTACCAAGCTAGTTATGTTCAGTTACCTGCTTGGAATCCTGCTGGCAGTTTCTGACACTCTGATGTCTGAGCTCTGATAGAGAAGCGGTTGAGTTGTAGTAAGCGGTAACACCAAAAAGGCCCAAACTGCAAAGTTATTCATATTCATCTCCATGACAACTATGGAAATGTAACTGGACCATTGCTGAGCCTCTCCAAGTGAGCAGCAGAACCCATCTGTGAACTCGTTTTTCCAACATTAGCCCAAAGTTATCTTCTTTGACGCTACAGTCGGTATGCTAACTCCTTAGTTCATGTAAGTCAGTAAGATTTAACACATCAGACAAGAGAATGTGGCCTGAACAGGAAAAAAAAATGTTGCAGAATCAGCAATGCTATGAAAAAAAACATGAATTATAGTTCAGAAAATACAGTAATTACTTTAAGTCACATCACTAATATTCATGTTCGATACAACAGATTTCAGTGCTATCTAAATGGAAACCAACATCAAACAATTATATTTGGGCAATTAATAAAATTAAAAGCAAAGAGAAACTGGTTGGTGTTTTAGAAAAAAAACAACACACACAAAAAAAACTGATGACACAAAAAGTTGGACATACAGTATTAAGGACTTTGTGTGAGAACACAGAAGTTACAAATGCAAATCAAGACCTATGGTACCAGGAACTCATTCTAAAACTGGCACAGGAGGCTTTGAATAAAAAAGTAGAACAGGAAAAAAGGAAGAGAGAGGGAAAAACCTTCCGGTTATAGGAAAGCTCTCGATAACATCACTGGGTTAGGGGTATCTCAGACATCATCATGGATCCCCCATGATGGCTACAATTTTACTGGACAGCAAAGATGAGCCACCCTGAACCCAAACTGTAACCCAAACTCAGTGGAACTTGAATTGCTTGGTAGGATCATGGTTAGGTTGTAACTTTTAAGATGTGGAGGACATGGCTCAGTGAATTATCAGTGAATTTGGTTTAACAATGACATCAAATCTCCCTAAACTAACTTCTGTTAGATCAAACAATATGACATTATTTATAGTACATTTATAAATTAAACAAAGGAATGCAAACAACAATCAACAACCCCACAGCAAAATGTTATAGTAATGCTAAGTAATAAAATGATAAAAATTAGATAAATAGGATAAAATGGTCATAAAATGTCAAACTAGGGAAACCTCATCATAATCATATATGCATTTAAAAAAATGAATGTGATAAACGTATAACGCTAATGCATAAATTTTGTGAAAGAAAGAGCTAAAGGTCAAGCTAAAGCTAGCTAAACAAGGAATGTTAAACTTAGCTGGTGGATGATGACATTGTGCTATGAGGTCTTCAACTTTCTGTGACAGACTGACGACCTGTCCAGGGTGACCCCGCCTCTCGCCCAGAACGTTAGCTGGAGATAGACACCAGCACCCCTTCAAACTCCACTGAGGGACAAGGGTGTACAGAGAATGGATGGGTGAATGGTCTTCAACTTTCTAGAGTCAACAAAGTTTATGTGGTCTTGAGAATAGAGCACATAGAGCTCTGTGGACTGAAGTTTTATGAGTGAGAAGATGCATATAAGCTTTATGTCACCAAGTGGAATATGTAAAGCATTTAATTTATTGTTGCAAAACACAGCTACTGGAGTGCAGCTAAGTGGAGACATGCTCTACGGAATGATGAATCCTACAACCCTGTCTGGAAATACAGTGTTTGGGTGTGGCAGTTGCCCGGAGAACGGCACATGACTGTCTTCACTGTGTAAAGTTCAGCAGAGCAGGGATTGGTTCCAGGCTGTTTCTCAGGAGCTTAAAGGGAGTGAAAGAATGCTTCAGCATCCATCCATCCATCCATCGCAGACTTCAGCAAAATATTTTCATAATCCCAATTTTGTATAACCATTTTGGTTGGTGACCTCTTCCTTTTCCAACAACCTCCTTTACACTCTCTTCAAACATGTGAAAAGCCTCTGTAAGTGTTAAAGCTGTTATAAAAAACATCTTATTTAAACCGTATGGAGTAGGGATCGAAAGTCACTTAAGTTTATATACCTCTAAAGGCAGACAAAATAATACTTGAGACATTAGTGTTGATAAATGAATAGCAAAGTAGTGATTAAACATAGGATGTTGTTCTTTCTAAATGTTTATGTTTTACAAAATATTTGTACAATTCAGTGATGATTAATTTAAAAGTGCAATAAGTACAAAGAAATTCTGAAACTATTACCTCTTTGTTTAAGTCGCCACCCATGTACCATTTGATTGTCAGTCCAAACATGATCACATTAAAGAGGAACACTACACTGAACAGTCCCAGTGTGGTCACCATCTTTGCTGTGTCATCTGTTATGTAGCATCTAGACAGAAAGGAAAAAATTCATCATCATATAATGGAAAAACAGGGGAAAGGAATCTATAATGCTCAACAGGGTGATTAACAAAATGCAAGAAATTCAATATAGTTACCATTTTGTGGGTGTCTTATTATTTGAGATCATATGGAAGGATTCAAATGCATACACATCCAAAGGTAATTTCAACACCAGTCATTACTTGCTGTATCTACTTCTGACACATTTTTTTTTACCAAACTAGATGTAAGATGGCTGTACATTTCATTAACAGTTCCTTCTAATTCCCCTTTGAGATGTATCATCAAATTGGCAGCTATAGAACACATAACTCGCCAATGAATTTGGGTGAATACATTGAGGCTGCATTTCAATTGGACTATTTTTTTTTTATAAATTCCAAAATCTGTCCCTATTTTCCACATTGCATAAATCATCCCCATTCTAATTCACCAGTCCCTTTCCCCACAAGGATTAAAGAAATGTGCTCCAGTCCTCCAGGACTGGTATCCTGCTTGCTTTAGATGTTTCTCTAAACACAGCACACACAGCTGACCCAAATGATCCAACTGCATCTGCAGAACCATGTCAGGGTTCTGCAAGTAAACAGTTGCGTTGAACCAGAGAAAGAACCAAAGCCCCTTCTTCACAGATTCGTCTCCACTTGCGCCTACTGCACAGTCCTTCCCCATTTTTTGGAACCACGTCAGGGGAGGTACAAGCCAGACTTTGCAGGTATTGTGCGGTGATTTGATGGCAGCGGATTGGCCCATGGAATCTGTGACAAGACCATGGTATTTGTCGAGATGGCAAGATGTAAACCAACAATTCCATGGTCAGACCTTGAGGTCTAAACTTCTTTAAGAATTGTGGTGGAAGAGTGCATACAGAATCAACTGGATAAGGCAACCCACAACAAAAACAACATACAGAGAGATTTAAGAGAAGCTGTTCTCACAAGGGTACATGCAAAAAAGGACATCACTGGAGACAGTAGCTCATATGCATTCAAGGACTGCCCATGTTCCTACCATATTCACGCCCAAATAGTGAGAGACAAATTTCCAATAGAGACACAAGCAACTTGGCAAGAACCAAATCAGACATTTATCAAGTAGAGTGAGATTTGATAGTGGAGAAGGAACTTAAAACATGGAGTTTATCGGCCTTGAGGACTGACTCTGGACACCACTGGATTGAGGGATTAAAAATGGATCTTTTCCTCACATTGCAGTTTCATTCGCGTTAGAGAAGCCCAGGAATGCACGACCGTAGGTGTCTTTACGTATGATCACCATTATTGTCACGATGACTGCCGGAAGACCTAAAACACAAAAACTGATTCTTTAAGTTAAGGCTTCCACCACTTGACCTACAGACTTAGCTGATGCCACTCACCCCATCCCACCACACTGAGTTTCAGCAGGTATCGCCTCACATAGATGTTGAAGACTTTCACCAAGACAAGGTAGAGGTGGAAGCCCTCCAAGGCCATCCAGGTGAAAGAGGCCAGCAGGGAGTAGTGAAGAAGAAGAGCCACATAGAGACAAAGCTCAGTGGAGGATGACGATGCTGCCGCCTGGCTGGGGAGGAAGTGAACGTTGAGGAGGATCAAAGAAGCTGCCAGGCTGATGTGGATCTTCTTGGAATCGTCTCCTCTGAGTTTTCTGTCAGACACAGAAGACGAGGTCAGATGTAGATGACAACTTGTCAGGATTTGCATATGTCAAAAAAGGAAGTCACATAAAGTGGAGGGAAAAGAAGAATAGATGACAAAATTAAAAAATGGTGATGTAAAACCTAAGTGTTTTGAGAAGGTATCTAAAGACACAAGTCAGGAGAAAAAATGTTGGAGAAATAGATTGATTAAGGACAAAATGCATATGGAAATTATAGTTCTGTATGAATGTGTTTTATCATGGATGAACACCTGGTTGTGATGAAGAGACCAACAGTGATGACCAGAGCAAACAGAGAGATACCACAGCCGATGTAGGTGATGTAGAACAAGATCTCAGCATCTTTGGGGGAGAGGTCTGCAGACACCTGTGGAAAAAAAAATACTCCCATTCTGTTGTTGATCTACACCCCTGATCTACACCTATCAATTTTTCAGCAAGATAATTAAAAATGTTAAATCTATGATTATCTTCATAATGTGGACACCCAATTCAATTTAAATCAAGTAACCATGTAATGTTTGTAAAAAAAAAGAAGAAAAAAAAAGAAACGCATCCTCATAAGTGTTTAACTTAATAGCACAGTCTTTACCAGCATGATTTATGTAGGAAATGACATTTACGAAAACAAGCAAGAGATTTCAAACCATCATTTGTAAAACTGAAGCTATGCCAAAATGGAAGGTGCTGATTGTCTGCATCCCCAAGAGATGAGTATAATGGTGGATATTAGATTTGTGGGTAGTGCTAAGATGGTTTCCACTGCACGTGTTAATCCATGTTAAGGTATAATTTGGTGTTTGGATTCTTTTTATCTATAATCATGGGTTTGAATACAAGTAGCTACATATCTGGGTTATTGAGATATTTCATTAGCTTTGTATGCCTGTTAAATGCTGTCAGTGTAAAAAAAATCTGCATGAGGACATGAATAACACAATTTACTTTTTGACAAAAAAACAAACACTTGTTTTGTGAATTCTGAAGATGTTAAAATAAATGTTAACTTCATGTAATTTTAAATAATGTTTTTGCATAGGATATATAAAAAAAATGTCTTTACATTTTCAAAACTGTTAGCCAAGTTTGTCCTTCAGATTAGACCATGGGTTCCCAAATTCAGCCCTCAAAACCTAGGGTCCTAAACCTTTATGTATGGCCATAACAACCTTTATGTATGGCCATAACAACCTTTATGTATGGCCATAACAACCTTTATGTATGGCCATAACAAGTTTGAATTTGACATCCTTAACCTGTCTGTCACAGGTTAAGGACAGACAGGTTAAGGCCCTAAAAGTTGCAGGGCCTCTGTCCTGCAACTTTTAGATGTGCCTCTGCTGCACCACACCTGAAAAGAATAATTAGGTCATTAGCAAGGCTCAGGAGAACCGATCTACACAGGGAGGAGGTAATTAAGCCATTTCATTCCACTGTTTTTTACCTGTGGCACATCTAAACACTGCAGGACAGCGGCCCTTGAGGACTGGAGTTTGACACCCCTGTCATTGTGAATGACAACCTGAGACCAACAGGTTAATATAGGGAATAAAGGCCACTGTTGAGGTAAAATCTGACTATATCAATTAAGTTTGTTAGGTCCTAATCTTCTTTGCTGTAGATAGTCACAATGGACGGATGAACAGTCTGGACAAGAGGAGCACACCATGGACAGGTCAACTTGTAATCTTGTGCTCAGTAGTTTTCTTTGTGTTGTACTTTATTTCATTTATGATATGATTTCTTTCTATTTCTTTTATTCTGTATATTTCTTCTAGCGCCAATTTTGTCAGATGGTCTTTTAGAAATCCTATTTACTGCAAAAATATTATGTTTTTTAATACTAGGTTCCCATCGTATAGATGGTGGATAATGTTCTAAGACGTTACTGAAATTGTCAACTGGTAATAACTGACTTTTTTATGATTGAATGACTGGGTGTGAATATCTCTGTCATTTCATCATATTTGTATGTTTGTAGACTTCATTATAAGTTGTCAGTGTCATTTATTGCGACAGTAGGGGTTCGACATCTGAACATATTTTTGCTAAGACAACATAACATAAAAAGCTGATTCTTACCATGAGTACTGCAAAGTATGTGAGATGGTCACAGGAACAAGTGATGTACGGCTGATTATAGCCCCAGAATGTCTCACAGCCATCAGTGCTAAACTTTGTTAAATCTGACAGACAGAGATACCTGTTATTCTATTAAGTCTGTAGCATGTAGACTGTATACTGTAGCATCAGTATATCATAATACAACATTCAATGACATAGATAATGTCTGCAACAAAAAAGGAATTCTGATTTATGTTACTTCTCATGATGTTTCTTATGTTTAATACTCACTGTTTGTAGTATTTAAGAACACACATGTTGGTTTTTGGGGTTTCTGTGACACAAAAGTACTTATTTACAGTAAAAGTGGCAACGATTTATTTTTATGAAACAAACTATCAAATCTGTCCGATCTCTGAAGTAATTGCCAACATCGACTGAACTTTGTTGATTTGTGGAATTAAGGAAAAAAAGTGTTACCATCAGGCTTGTTGTGAGATATATGCTGATGCTGACTCGATGTTGAAGGCCTGAAAAATTCTTGCCAGCCACACTCAGGCCAACCAGCAGATCATCATACAGTGAATAATTTGCTTCTGAAGTTTGTCCAAAAGAGCCATTAGATGTAAGTAGATCAGCAATCTACAGGGTCAAGTCAAAGGGAACTGTGTTGTTATTTTAACAATGTAGCCAGAAATGACATTGGAAGACTTCAAATCCAGGAAAAATAATTGATAAAGACATCAATATTGTTATAATTTTTTTTTTTTTTTTTTGTGGGACTAGTGACATAAAAGTCACACCTGCTGTCAATAATACAACTTAAGTAACCCACATAGAACATTAGTTTTATGAGATGTTAAAAAGTGTTTCCCCTTCATATTTTTTAAACAAGCATTATATGCAAAACTAAGAACCTTGTTTAATATTTTTAAAAGAAAATTCTCCGTTTAAAAATTTTCAACACCTAAATAAATCTCATACAAAAAACCCAGCAAATGGTAAAAGCTTGAGCACACTTCCTAATGATCTGAAACTTTGTTCATTTTCATGTCTTCCATCTGTCACAGACATCTCCAATGAAGTAAATACTGTCAGTGTTTTAAGTTTTAGCTATCGTGTACGTCCCCCAATCCCACTCCCCGCAGCACCTTTTTCATTGCTTTACCAACAACAAGCAAAGTTTTTCCGAGTTTTAGCAGATGTGGCTAGCTGCAGCTAGCTAGCTTCTTCTCTGTTTCTGAGTAGCCATCTTGTCTTTGCGCCTCCAGTCAACCGGGTGCTGACAAAACCGTCAGAAAGTATTTATTCTGTTTCATACATCTTGGTGGCCTCGAACTTTGCGCTGAGCTTCAAGTTATGTGTTTATTTTGTGGGAAGATGTCGGTATTTCAGGAAGTTTGTTCGCCGTGGCTGATCGCTTTATTCTTTCTGTGTTGAGGAGGCGAGCTGGTAAGTAACCAGGTATCACAGGACTTGCAGCGGCCAAAGCACCACTGAAGCTACTGTTCTGTTGAATTGTGGCAGTGACAGACTGCCACTGCATATAGAAATGCAGCCAGGATACATTGGAAATACCAAAGCTGGTTCTTAAAACCAACATTGGTCTTAAAAATTAATGCTGGTTGACACTACCACAATCAGTATTGTCAAAGCAGCCTGATTATGGTTTGAACACAATCAGGCTGCTTGTGTTTAAAGTTTTGCAGGAAAGTTTTGCTTTCCTGCAAAACCTTTGGTTTTGAAAGCTCCAGTAAAGGAGCTTTCTTGACATCATTGTGACAGCTGACCCTACTGTCACACAGACCTGAATGTTTCCTTTGGAGCTGCTGCTGGAGGGTCACAGAAGAGCTCCAGCTAATTGACATCCATATATGGCTGGCAAAACCTCCTCAGCGGGCCGTTCCATTTGTTTGCCAGGGGACGGGGAAATTTGGTTTTCTTTAATTTAATTTGACCATTTCTTTAATGTTTCTTCTATTTGGTAGTTTCAGTCTAATGTTTGTTTAATTTAAAGATTTGGTATTGTATTTGTTTAAGTTTTTGTATGTTTAAATTACCCCTTGTGTGTCAGCAGTGGTCTGATCAGCCACTATTTAAGTTCCCCTCATGTCTTGTTTGTTAGGTCAGTTTTGTGCTTGAGTTCTTTGTGTTACCACCTGAGTTGTAGTTTGTTATGTTGACCTCAGTTTTGGGCCCAATTCTTCATTGTTTGATTATTTTTGAACTTTTTTGTAATAAATTAAGATTATTTTTTGAATTCCATTTAGCGTGTGAGAACCCTCACAATCATGTTAAGAAAATCTGCTTAACATGATGTCATAAATATGTCAATATTGAACAGAATAGAAAGTGTAGTCACTTACATTTTTTGGCATTTCAATCGTGGAGAAAACAACTGTATCATTCTTCTGAAGGTTGAACTCTCTCGGTATGCAAATCTTAATTTTAATGTTCGACACAGAGGCATTTACCTTGGCCTATATTGACAACAAAAAATAAAAGGAGAAACATTGCACTGAATTGCATATGATAGCATAATCCAGTCACATTTGTCGACAAGGACAGTTGTTTTGAAAAAAAAAAAAAAAACATGTTTTGGAACATTTAGTTTTTGTTTTAGTTTCTTTACTTTTTATTATGTTACAAGAACCTTAGTTGTCCCAGATTCTCCAAGGAGACAACTTCAAAAGACTGAAACAATGCCTGACCAAACATTGAAGGAATCTCCTGTTGTAATCTATGTTTTAAATATTAATAAAAAGCTCACTATTGTTGAATGTTTTTAATTCTTCTTTGTTACCATACAAACACATTTATGTTTTCCTTTTTTTTTACACTACATTGTTATTTTTATTTTTTTTCACCTCTGTGTTATTTGCTTGAATTTCAAGACTTTTGAAGTCATCTGTGGATTTATAAAGAAGGGCATTGACACGGTCACTTGATAGGTACGTAGTTTCATTTACGTCAGTTTCTTCTAGGATTTGTTCTAGACTCCCAATATTTCTTGTGGGAAAATGCAAGAAAATAAACGAGTTCAGTTTAGTTTGCAAATAATCCACACAATAAAACAAAATTTCTTATTTTCTGATAAGAATTCAAATATTTACCGAACAATGTCTCGGGCATCATGGCCTCCATCCTTCAAGTATGAGGAAAAGACTTCTATAGCTTTTTTGACAAACGCTATTCCTGCAAGATAAATTATACAGTCTTAAAATGTATTTTGTTATTAGACACTCAGTTACGTTATGTCTCTTCAGACATCCCTGACGTGGTTTGAAGTGCTAATTTCATTGTTGTCAGTGGTGACAAACTTGTTCCCAAAGATGTCGGAGGTGTAGTAATATCTGTAGATATAAATCAATTGCGTGTCTAATAATAAAGTATTAGAAACTCGGTTACATTATGTCTCTTTAGACATACCTGACGTGGTTTGAAGTGCTACTTCTGTGTTATTCAGAGATGTCGCAGATGTTGTTCCCAAAGATGTCGGAGGTGTAGTAATATCTGTAGATATAAAACAATTGCGTGTCTAATAATAAAGTATTAGAAACTCGGTTACATTATGTCTCTTTAGACATACCTGACGTGGTTTGAAGTGCTACTTCTGTGTTATTCAGAGATGTCGCAGATGTTGTTCCCAAAGATGTCGGAGGTGTAGTAATATCTGTAGATATAAAAC